AAAAAAAAAAAAAAAAATGGACCTGCTCCACTTTCAAAATAAACGGTCCATATATAAAAGACTTACTCTTTAAAGCTTCATACTTGCGATTACGAACTAATCGTTGTTCCCAAAGCCATCTTTGTAAATGATCTAATACTGAAAATACGATCTATACGAAGATTATAAAAGAAATCATTCATTGAACAAGAATATCATTTGTAATATTCATACCTGTGCACAACGCGTACGTCTAGTTTCTTCAGAAATTCTTGTATCATCTGTCTTCACACTATGCCCATGCCTAAGTGGTCTATGACGCGATAATTCATGATCGAGTACAGGTTTTTTTCTAACATCGATTATTGTCAACATTTCTTCTCGTATTTTTGCATGTTCTTTTTCAGTGCAATATGTTATTATGTATGCTGATGAATTAAAAAAGTACATATATGTATAGAAGCGTATTATTACTAATGAATTATTACATTTTTAAAATAATGCTTACACACAACATGAGGTAAACAAAATGTTAATATTTTTATATCTCGCTTAAGCGCCAATTTACACGCACGCAGTACACTATTGAGTGTTTCGTCATGGATATTACTGAACATGCTACAAAGCCAATTATAAGCCCAATTTTCTACCGAAGAACCAGCTTCAGAACTGTAAAAATCGTAAATTACGATGTTCAATAGAATATTATCAGTATGGTCTATTACATAAATTTTATTTATTTAATATTTACCCGTAAATAGGATGAGGAAATATTTTATCATCACTGATAGTTGCAATTTTATAATGTGAAGTTAAAAAGGGAGTAATAATCTGTTTCATTGTCAAGGGAAGACTATTCCACAATTTACTATTTTTACCTTGAGGTGAAATATCATATGCTTTTAAAATTTCCTGAAGTCATATACCTTTTTAAACATGTAAATATATATACAATACAAAATTGGCAAACTATTCTACATACCTGAATAGCAAGTGAGAAACAATCCATACTCTGACTACTCTTTTGCATCTGAAACGCCCGTACATGTTCAAAGAGTATTGCGCAAGCAAATTCTTCATTCATATCAGAGATGAATTTCCTATCGTCTAAAATACAGAAGAGATTAGAACACGAAGTAGATAAATAACAAACTAATAAAATAATGTACCTCTAGAAATAATTTTGCGTGGAAGGAGACTTGGTTCAATAGCACCCAATTCTCCTAAACATTCACCATATAATAAGCGGATAGATTCATCTTTATGTTGACATCCAATTAGTAGTGTGTCTAATAGCTAAAAAATTATGTATCATTATTCTGCACCATTAACATATTTATTATTTTACGAAACAAACGTACATCAACGATCAATGGGTGAATATCTGTTTCTCTTAAAATCATTTCATTTAGTTGGCTACGATGTTCTGCTAAAAATCTTTGCAAATATATCAAAGCTTTGACTCTTACTTCGTCCGTTTCATGGGTAATTCGTTTAAGCCATAACTTTAAATTTGCTTCGAAACCTTGAGGCCTAAAATTTATGTACGGTTTAGCATAGTAAACTTATTTAATACATAAAAGAAAAGTTACTTCTTGCATACCTGGCTTGCAAAATATGTGCTTTAATTATGTTTTTAATTTCATCAGGAATTTCTTCATCATCTATAAAGAAAAGTTCTGCGATATGATCCGGACTTTCTTCGTTACATTTAATAATAAGGAACTTTAACATAGCAATTATTTTTTCCCGATACATTTTTAATAATGATATTAATGACACGTATATAGTCGGTAACAATGGACCAAGCTCTTTAATAGTTATGCTGAAATATTAACACATACTTTATTGTTTCTTATTCTCATACATCATGATTTTTCTTACATACTTATGAATGAATGCATTCCATGCATCACATATGAGAGGTCCGAATCCTGGACTCTTAAATCCAAGCGAGGTTCGTAATGTTGCTAAAATCTTATATCTTAAAGGTGTTAAATACTGTGCACCCATATACTGCATCAGCGCAGCTAATGACGCAAGTGCAGATTGCTGTGTATGTTCATCTGATTTTAATCCAAGTTTTATATCAAAGTTTACCAGTATACCATGTAAACGTAAATTTATATAAGATTCCTGTAAACATTGTAAATATACTGTGTACTTCTTTTACTCTTCTTTCTAAAGTAAAATACATACAAGTAGATACTTACAATTCCCTTTTGCATAATGTAATTTCTTTCTAAACTACTATCATAATCAGATATAATTTTTAATAATCCAGCTATCTTCTCAGGGGATTCATGAAAGTTTAACATCAATTCCTCAAATATACCCTGTTAATCACATTTGCGTAAAATATAAAAGTTAAGTATCAATAATGTAGTGTAAATACTTTTTGTATTACCATAAATGATTGTCTTATTAAGAGTGATAAATGCGTTTGCGTGATACTTGAGACTAGTCTCAGACATTCTGTTGCAGTTGCTAGAGGCATATTCAAAAAGGCATAACTGCAAATGTACTAAAAAAAAAAAAAATTAAAATAAAATGATTAGCATTAAAGAAAAGAACGAAATTTTTATGTACATACAGGAAAATATTCCTTCAACATTTGTTTCTCATCCATACTGATTAATTCAGCTATGTCATGTAACAGAACCTTTGCATTTGGCATATCAATGATGAAGGAGAGTAAAAAGCAAACTGCATAATGACCATCTTTCCGTAATAATTGCCGTGATCCCTCGTATCCGATGCATTTTGCAACGCGATGTACGGTTGTGGCCATGTTATAAGAATAACGTATAAAATTATGAACTGCACATTGCATTATGAGCTAAAATAATGAGAAGATATTATTCGAAAATACCTTTTTAGTTATGGTAAAATTGTTTATTTACCTTGAGGAAACTTTTTTTATATCGAACATATAATACTTTTGTAGAAACATTTAATAACTTAGCATAATCGTGATATGCAGTAGTTGCAAATGCTACTGCAGTTGGGGATGACGCTGAATGCAATATAGAAATCAAATATATATTCAAAATTCGTCTCTCAATTATATTCAATGGAATACTAAAAGTAAAAACGATTTAAAATTTATATATACTAAGTGAAATATAAATATTTATCTTACCAGGCACAACTTTTTGTGGTAACAAGTAAAGTATCATGTAAAGCATGATTTGAATTTGTTAAAGCTTTCAAAACTGCATTTGCTATAGTATTAATAACCAATTCAACAAATTCATGTAAACAAATAGGTACATCATTTCTAATAGATGCTACAGATTTTGTTGAAATGTTTATTTTATTAATTAATATTCCTTTTATTGCTGCAGCAATATTAAAACGAATTATAGGATTTTGATCTTCCACATATGATAACCACATCTTTGCTACTTCATTATCGTTAAATGACATAATGTGATTTGAAAAAGAAAGAAAAGATTCAGAAATGCGCAAACGTACTGAACTGAAGTTTGAAGATAATAATATAAAATATGGACTCAGGAGATGATCATGTTCTTCTGAGACATAATAAACATTAGAATTTACATTGCTTTCAACACAGTTACTACACCGTTTGCAATGTATTATCCACGTTGCATTGTATAATTCTCCTGTAAATTTTGCATGGTCTGATAAATAACAGCTTATTTTACTTAAGGTAATTACAAGCATTTCATGAACTTTCTCATCCTTTGAATGGAGTGCAGGTTGAAGAATATACTTTGAAACATCTTCTAATTTTATTGCTCTATTTTTCAAAAGCAGCATACTATTCTGCACTGCTCCTACTACTAACTCAGTTTGACCACTAATTACACATGTGTTTAATATTTCCAATCGCTCTTTTCCATTACCAAATTCACATAAAACTTCAAGACATTTTAACTTTGTAGCTTTATCAAGAGATTCAGCAGTCTCTTTCACATGATTATTAATCATATTCACAGAAATTTCTACATCTTGTGTAAATGGTAATATTAATATTTTCTGAATTAAATCTTTGTTTGATTCATTGTGTGCCATCATATGTATTAAACTTTCAAAAATTATATTTTCTTGCTGACACTGTTTAGAATTTAGATTCTGTAAAAATAGCTTCAAAATTTCATCCAATTCATGTGTGTACAAATTCATTTGCAATTCCAGTTCTTTCAACCAGTTTTGTAAAATACGTGAGGCTTTCAAAATATGCATAGATATTTCAAATTTTTCCACCTGTGTTGCAATTAATAATTGCTTTTTTAGTAGATTCCATGATTCACAGATATCAGTAACTGAAGTATTTGCACTAATAGTATGTTTGATATCAATAAGTACACAGTGAACAAAAACACTAATAAAATCTGGGCAATATTCAAGATATGAAATAAACCTTTTTATTTCAGAAAAAGTATAAGTTCTTGGTTGCATGGTAAAGTACTTCTGAATTTTGTAACATGCTGTTTTTCTTACTACTTCAACAGCTTTAGGATCAGCATTCTTGCATCTTATTTCATGAACTATGAAATCAATAACTTGAAAACATAATTCAATATTATTTGCAGAAAGTGGTGATAACTGAATAAACTTATCAAATGTCCACAGAAATTGATCCAACTGATTCTTTGAAACTTCATACAAATTTAGCCAGGTAGGAAGAGCTTTAATAATCTCAGTAGCATAAAGAATCAAATTATCAAGTTCCTGCTTGCTGAATGATGAAAATTCCATTAATTCTACACATAGGCCAAATGCTGTAAATTTTATATCTACAGCAGATATGGTGATTACTTTCAATATTGTTTGAGATAACACTTGTGGATCCCAAACTGAAATCCCTGTCTTTGTTATAATTTTAAGTATAGATGTTTGCACTAATGGTATGTCAGAATACTGTATTGTAACAGGAAATGCTTGCAAATCCAAATTTTCTATCATATTTCTCTCTGTATTAAACTTGGCCAATGTAATTTTATCTTCTTGCCCACTGGTTTTATGAAACTCTGATATCTCTTGAAGTATGTTTAAATATTCATTACTGATTCTTTCAAATATTGTGATATGGTGTCTAGATAATATTCGAAGCATACAGGCTTGTATTTCTATGCTGTTACTTAAAATTTCATTGCTTAAAGGATCTCCAACTATATAAAACATAGTGCCAAATAACCAAGTGGTAAATGCAGCATATTGGCATTTTAGTGTCTCATTTTGCACTCCATTGCTAAAAGGTGGAACTAAAACTGTAGTCAAAGTAGCTGAACCTTTAAGGATTGATTCCAAGAGTGAACAAAGCATTTGCTTTGCTGTTGCATTTTTTAAATCAGAGAAAATTGCAATTACAGGACTGTTAATAAATTTCCATACTGAATCTGCTACTGTTACATTGCTATAAAAATTATGTTATCAGTATCAAGTAGAAAATTCTATTTAAGAAAGTAGTACAAAACAATTTACCTGCTATTATTTGGAAGAATAATTGAATTGTCATTTACTTCCATATTATTATTAGCTTTCGTAAATCATATAAAATACATCAATTAAACGTTTCATTATAACAAACCGACACAATTATTAAATTTTACACTAAACAATAAGCTCTGTTTAAACAAGATTTAGATAGGGTCCCGCTAAATTCTTTTGACTCAACATGATCACACCTTCTCATTCGTTAAGAGTACGTTTTCGGGACCAAAAGGCTAGGGTTTCGATTCAGCGGTAAAATCATCAACTTTTGAATTGGCGTCATTTGAATCTTTTCCATGAAAAGACGGCTTTAGTGTTTATGCCAACGAAGTTTTATGATTATGTATTTTCATCAATATGTTGCTTTTTTTATAAAAAATTAATTTCCATTTAGAAAATACGTGTAACAGGTTAATACCGGCAACAATTTACTGTAGTATTTTGTTTGTGCTCTGTTGCAACAGACTGACTAGCATTTTCGTCATTTAACCTAATAAACTATCGTTAAACATATCTTTATATTAAGTTCGTTAAAAAATATATTAATTATAGTAAGTAAAAAGTATTGTGATCATTTACTTTATACCTTTTATGAAGTAATGTTGCATTTCATGTAACCTTCTAGGAAGTAATGCAATTATTGTTCTAAACTTCATAGAATCAGTTATGAATTTTGTTTAAAGCAAATAACATATTGAAACGAAACAGAACCGTATATTATTAAAAATGAGTGAAAGTGCACCAGTTAATGATGTGCCTGAAAGTAATGGTGGGACAGAGCAACCTACTTACAATGGGGAAACTGAGGAACATACAAGTATGTTAAACTTTCATTGCAAATTTGTAATTTCAATTTTTATTATTGTGAGAAATGTTCTAATACATTATCTGATTTGAATAATTTATATGTTAGACAAATCACCAGGAAGTGGGGAAGACAAAGCACCTGATTCTGTGTGTGACAATGGAGCTAAAAAAAATAATACAACTTTGATCGTTGGAAGTAATACTACTAATACAACTAATAGATCTAAGAAGAGGAAAAAAGCTCCTAGAGATGCTACTGCCCCAAAACAACCTTTAACTGGTTATTTCAGGTATAGTTTTAAACAACAAAAAGATACAATTGAAATGAAAAGAATACTTGATAACAAACTATGACAGGTTTTTAAATGACCGAAGAGAAAAAGTAAGGAGTGAAAACCCAACCTTATCATTTGCTGAAATCACGAAACTTCTTGCTTCAGAGTGGAGTAATCTGCCTGCTGATCAAAAACAGCAATATTTAGATGCAGCAGAGCAAGATAAAGAACGTTATAATCGTGAATTTAGTGATTATAAACAGACAGAAGCATACAGATTGTTTAGTGAAAAACAGTCCTCAGAAAAACAGCAAGAAACTAAAAAAGAACGAAATGGAACTGATTTAAATTCTGAGCAAAATGTATGATATTTATGTCTGAATCACTTACCAACTTATTATATCACCATTAATATTTAATCTTTTACTAGGATATTCAACAGGACAAAGATAATGATTTCACAGGCTTTGATATACCTATTTTTACAGAAGAATTTTTGGATCATAACAAAGGTAAATGATAATAATCTTTGTTATTTTATAAAAATCCAAATTTATTTAATTCATATTTGATGGCATGTACAATATATTTTTCCATGTGCAGCATGTGAAGCTGAGTTGAGACAATTAAGAAAAGCTACATCAGATTATGAGGCTCAAAATGCAGTTCTTCAACGACATGTAGATAGTTTGTATGCAGCTGTAAATCGTTTGGAATCTGAAACAAACCAGCAACGCACGACAAATCAAGCTTTGCAGCGTCATTTAGATTCCCTTCGTTCACAATTAGCCGGTTGTTTTGCCACAGTACCTCTACCAGGTTGAATTTACGTAACAACTTATTTTATTCATTATTTGCATTTCACATATTTATAACGATTGCTTGTTTCTTACTTTTAGGAACGAATGAAGGCGCCACATTACAAAATATCGATAATTATGTTGAAAGACTTGAATCACTATTAAGTGGCAATGCCGAACTATCTTTGCGAAACGCTGTGCGTAATGCTGTTTCTCGCCTCGAATTAATTGGATGACGATCGCCTCCCGGTAGTACAACTACTACATCAATAAAACATCATCGTTCAAGGCACTCTCATCGAAAATAAAAACCTAATGATTGTGTTCTTTTTTACGTATTTTGTATAATACAATTTTTTCTTAATTGCCTATGCTCCATAGTTTAATAATTACAGTATACCTGTATTATACATAACAATAACTTTCTTCCTAATTTATGATTTTAGAATCATACGTTATTTTTTAAGTGAATATAATTTATAAGATATAATTGCATGCAATTATGTACACAGATATAACTATACGTTTATGCAATTTACATATATGTAATCAATCCATAGCATAATAACGAAGTGTCATTATGATACTGTTGAATATTTATTAATAAATTTTTTAAACTTACTAGAATTTTTCTCTTATGTTTTTCATAAGATTTTGAAGTTGATTCCAAGAATATCTGTAAGAGGTCACATTTGGGCGTTGATTTAACTCCAAATCAATTAAAGTAAGTTCAATTTGTGGGGATAAAAATTGTACTATTTCAGTCGCTGTTGGTAAAATCGAACGTAAAAGCTCGAAAGTATTATATTGATTAGTTATCAATGATTTTTTAACGGTGCTGGATATAACATTATGAAACTTATCCCTGCAATTGTCAATAACATAAATTATTTAAAAAGAAGTATTAACTAAAACTAATACTTACTTTAAAGAATTATTTTCTTTGTAATATGAATTTCTTGTGACATTATTTATAAAATCAATCGTATTCTGTTTATGTGGGTGATAATCTGGAACTTTCATATAACATCCAATAATATAAGACGTACAAACTTGAATAATATGTTCTACTACATGGCATGCAACATTTTTCTCGGCTTTAAGTAGATTTTGTAAAATCATCATTACCTATATTAAAAACATAATTAATTATTATAAATGTCACAGTAACGAAATGAAAAGGAAGTAATACATACTAAGTGAGATTGTTTATGTATATTATCATTTGAAATTGTAAGAAAATTCGTCATCAATATCTCAAATATTAAGCGTATGAAATCTGCTTTTGCATCTTTAAAACATTTTAATAACGAGTCAGACACTTTACAATTATTTGTACTAATGCTTGGTGTCACTAGAAATGTCATATACTGATCAAAAAGATCTCGTATTAATATTTGAAGTGATATGTCACTTTTAACATTAAGAACTTCTATGCCTAAAATTATCATAGAAAATGTTTTCTTTCCTAAATTTTTAAAAAATGTATTTTCCACTGATAATACAGTTTTATTTAATAACACTTTGAGCATATTATTTGATTGATTCTAAAAAAAAATACAATTTAAATTAATCACTAATTAGTGTTATATGAATTAGTAATAATATTTAATAAATAGCATCTGAAAACCCATAAAGCTAATTCTGAATCTTTAGTTTCTTCTGTAATTGGTATAAGGATCCACTTTTCCACATGATTAAAATACAACCTCCACTTTGCATCATACTGAATTCGTTCTTGTTCTGTCTGAAAATATAAATTATGACTACCTTTGCTTGA